CCCGCCCAGGCACCCCCCCCCCACAAACAGAAAAGCCAGGAGAAAGAATCAGAACAGGCGCCCACTCATGCCAGCAGCCAGGAACAAGCAGGAGACCGGAGGCGATGGCAAGCCTCCTCCTTACCTCCCTCCACCTCCAAAGACCTCCTGCAACTCTCACAAGGATGAAGCCCCCGTGTCTTCACCCACCCCAAGGAGCCGCTCTCGCCCCCTGACCTCGAGTCCTGTGCGCTGGAGGGAGGGAGGGAGGGGAGCAGCAGCAGGAAGGCGGCAGAGGCACCACCCCCTATAGGGGGTGGTGGCAGAGGCCGGGCTGCCCCTGGTGGAGGACGGAACAGAGGAAGAGGAGAGGGACACTCACTTGCAGGCTTGGAGGAGGCCAGGCGGGGCTTAGGGCACAGAGAGGTGCACACACTTGGGCAGGTGCTCCCTCCTGCAGGCTGCTGCTGGTGCTGCTCCTCACGGTCAGCCGCCTCGGAGGAGAAGGGGAGTCATGCAACCGGCTTCTCTTCCCCTACTGGCTCGACATCTGCCTTGTGTGGCCCCTGCCCTCCATTCAAACTGCCCAATCTGGGGCTGCCCGGGCAGTTGGGGCGACGGCGCACGTGCCCACAGAGAGAGCTCTGAGTGCCACCTCTGGAACCCGTGCCATAGATTCGCCACCAGGGGTCTAGGGGATTCAGTGTGGAAACTGGAACTGGGAGACCTAGGTTCAGATCTCCTCTCAACCATGAAGTTTATTTTCTATCAGTGTGACCTACTTTACAAGGACGTTGTGAGGGTAACACGGGTGTGATAAAACCATACACACTACTCTGAACTACAGGGAGGAAGACGGCAGCGGTGTGTGTGTGTACAAATGTAATGAAGACATTATTTATTTGTTTGTTTTATACCCCACCCTCCCCAACAAAGGACATGAATTTGCATAATCCAAAATATATTCCAGCTTCCTCAGAATGTTGGGCATACGCAGCATAGGAATCTCCATTACAAAATATGCTAATGTGCATAAAGATTTTTTTCATAGAATCACAGAGTTGGAAGGGACCTACAGGGTCATCTAGTCCAACCCCCTGCACAAGGCAGGAAATTCACAAATACCTCCCCCTCTACACCCCCAGTGACCACTGTTCCACACCCAGAAGATGACAAAAAACTTCCAGGATCTCCGACCAAACTGGCCTGGAGAAAAATTGCTTCCTGACCCCAAAGTGGCAATAAGCCTTTCCCTGGGCGTGTAAGAAAGGGCCACAAGAACTAAATTTGCATATGCTGCTAGGAGCACACAAGCATGCTTTTATGCAGTTCTTTGGCAGGAATTGACTTTTCAGGGCACAGAATGGTTTTGTTGATGTCAGAGGTCAACTTCCTGTTGGTTTATTACTGGGGTGGGGGCTGAGCCTCTGGGGGCTGGATCTGATGACAAGGAGACCATATTGGAGTATGTGTAGACAATAATTTCCTCCTCACGGTATGAGTGCACATGCCTGTGCTGGGGCCAACACAGCCATCCAAACTTTGGACATGGTCTCAGAGTTGTGCTTTAGAATCATCCTCTGTACTGTTAGGAATCCTGGGAAACACTTGAGATTGTGCAGGGTGGCTGCTGGGGTTTTTTTTGGCCAGTCCTTTTTGTTTAGAAAACAGGGTAAGTTATGGTCAGGATTGAAAGTCCCAGCTGTGCTTGATAGGGCCATCCTTCCATCCTCTCTAAATTCACTTACTCTTTTATTGGCTGTTCTGTCCATTTGTAGGTTTGGCTGTTTCTAAGGAACGGCAGCACCTCCGATCCTGCCTGTTGAGTGGGGCAATGTCTTCCTCAGACGAAGAGACCCTCAGCGAGAGGTCCTACAGGAGTGAGCGATCGTGCAAAAGTGAACGGTCCTACCGAAGTGAGAGGTCTGGCAGCCTGTCTCCCTGCCCGCCGGGGGACACCTTGCCCTGGAATTTACCCCTCCATGAGCAGAAGAAGAGGAAGAGTCAGGACTCTGTGCTAGACCCAGCAGAAAGAGCTGTTGTCAGAGTAGCCGGTAAGAAAACTTCCATAGTTCCATACCAAAATAAAAACAGTTGTGGGTCCCTACAGAGCATTTGCTCAGATCTGAATGGTCCAACCTTGCCCAGTCTCTTCAGAGCTTGGAAGCTAAGCAGAGTCAGACCTGGTGAGTACTTGGGTGGGAGACCACCAGGAAAGTCCAGGAATGCTACTCAGAGGCAGGCAATGGCAAACCTTGTCTGTCCATCTCTCACCTTGAAAACCCTACAGGGTTGCCATAAGTTGGCTGCAACTTGATGGCACTTTCCACCACAAAGTGTTCCTTAGTTGGCTATTGGCGCCATTGTTTTGAGCTCTGGGTTTCTTCTTGTCAGTTTCCTTTCTAGGATCCATCCAGCACTTCTATATTGCTCTGGAATGCTACAAGCCCTGTAAGTGCCCTAAATCCTGATTCCTTTTCTGGACTGGAAAGGAAGGCAAGTGGAGCTGTTGCTAAAATCTGCAGTTTGTTTTATAATGCACAGATGACCAAACTATATATATATATATATATTTTGGGGGGAGCAGATCTATTTTCTGAACCGTGGTTATGGACCACAAATTTATTTATTAGTCATTTCATTTACTTTATTTATAGCCCACATTTCTCATGGGCAACAAGCTGGCTTTATGTCATTCTTGTCTCCTTTTATCCTCACAACAACCACCCTGTGAGGTAAGTTAGGCTGAGAGCATGTGACAGACTCAAGGTCACCCAGCAAGCTTCTGTGACAGAGTGGGGATTCGAACCTGGATCTCCCAGATCCTAGTCCAACATTCCAACCACTGCACCCATTCATAGGCGGTCTGACTCCATAATGGGATGTGTGGTGCCATCTAGCAGGATAAGCATTGCATTCATGGGGTATGAGCACTTGGCAAGGCATGGCATAGAAGATCCAAAAGGAGATGGAACATTACATGCAGGCTACCTGTGTCTGTTTTAGCAGCCCCACTAGCCCAGCTTAGCCCAATCTTGTCAGGGCTTGGAAGCTAAGCAGGCTCAGTACTTGGATGAGAGACCACCAAGGTAGACTCTGCAGAGGAAGGCAAGCACTGGCAAACCACCTCTGCTCATCTCTTGCCTTGAAAACCCCATGGAGTTCCACTTAATGTGATTCTACAGCACACTTTACCATATCTACCTGTGTCTCTTATGATGTAAAAGCTCCCTCCCCCATTCATTATAAGTGATACTGTGTGGCTACTTGGGGACAGATAGAATTGCTTCAGAGGCCTGCCTTGGCCTGGATTCCATCAGTTGGACTTGTCTGCTGTGTGTATATCAGGAGCTCAAGGCTGTAGGGCAGAGCTGGATCAATAACAAGAAGGTTGTATGAATGTGAAGGCCAGGGCAGAATCAGAAGCAAGGCAGCTTTGTAGCGAAAAGACTGGAAATGCACAAGCATTGGTGGCAATGAGGAGGAAAGGCAGCATGGTTATAACCCAATCTCATCAGATCCTGGAAGTTAAGCAGAAGGCGGCAATGGCAAGCCACCTCTGCTTCTCATTTGCTTTGAAAGCCCTTTGCTGGCATTGCCATAAGTTGGTTGCGCTTGACAGCACATACGTAACCTTGTGGTGACAAGGACCTCAGGGGTGGAGAAAAGGCCTAAGTTTGGTTGATGGAATCAACAAGTCAGTTATGAGACTCCAGTAGTTTTCCTGTGGACACTCGTGAGAAGAATGCAGTGGCCCTGCTTTGAAGGGTGAAGTTGGATTGAGAGGCCAGGATGTGAGGGCTGGACTGAGCCAGGACGTACAGAGCCACCACCTCAACCTATTTCTGGGAAAAGCCATAGATTATTTTGTTAGGATTTCCTCTACCTCACAACCAATGCTCCCTCCCTCTAAGCTGCTGAGTCTTGTGAGCAAAAATTCTACTTGGTGAGCTACTGGCACTAAGGTTTTGAGCGAGTGATTTGGCTACTGCATAAATTAGTTTGGTCTGGAGCCATCCTTCCTGAGCTAAGACAAAAATGTGTGAGCTGGAGGCTAAAAAACTGTGAGTTAGCTCACACTAACTCAGCTTAGAGGGAACACTGCGCACAACGGTGTTTTGGACTAGATAAGTGTTTCTCAAACTTCTCATAGCAGAGGTGGAATTCAAAAAGAATTCTAATTGGAGGTATGGTTTGCTCTAAGAAATTTTACTTTTAGAATGTGAAAGAGGGAGATTTAGCTGCTATCCTGTGGAGCCTACTTCTGGGGTTCTGCTTGAGACTTGGCGCCAGATCCCAGACCAGTGACTCATGCACATATTGTAATAGGCACACTCATCTAAGGGTAAGTCATTCCGTTGTGCATCTGCACGAGAGAAGAATGATCTAATCACTTGGTGATACTGACTAGATGGGGAAGTGGCTAAGCCAGATTGGTGAATCATATAGAACTGCAGTGGGCAGCCTCCTCTGTGCAAAGATATCTTGGGCTCACAAATGCCTCTAAGGACTTAATTAATTTAATGAGAGCTGCTGTGATGGAGTACCTGATTTGAATGAGGGAGTCCTGGTTTCCTATTCCTGGCTCAGCAATGCGACTTGCTTAGTGAGCTTGGGTCAGTCATGGTCTCGCAGCCTAATCTACCTCACAAGACTGTTGTGGGTGTTAAATGCGGAAAATCCCATATATGCTGTCCCGAAATATTCAGATAAAGGGCAAGATACAGTAAACACATTTCTCTCTTGTATGCACAGAAGCCGCTCTCTTGCAGCATGCTGATTGGGGTGGTTAGATTCTGAGATGATTGCCTCCTTATATTGCTTTGTTTTCTCTAATGATGTTTGGCAGGCTACAGATCAGGATTTTCAGATGGGCTGCATACACACAAGTTCTCCCAAGAAGGCATAGGGGGAGGTGTTATTTTTTGCCTAAACGTTATTTGTGGCTCACAAATGGGAAGTGATGGCACCGCATTGGACAGCGCACTAGAAATCCTCCCGATCTCTATGGTAAAAACCATAGAAATGGAGGGGGAGATGTTCTTAGAGCATTTCATTTTCACTTTCAGTCTTTTGACTGAAATGCCATTGCAATGTTGTGCCATTAGGGATGCCAGACCTCCTGCTATAGCTGGTAAAACTATATAGAGTTTTTGTAAATGATACAGCCTCTAAAGATGTCACTTGTGGTTTTTAACAGAAGTGATATCATCACACTGGCATACCAGGGGCGCCCCCCTCCCATTTCTTCAGGGGTTGCTGGCTGCAGCCTGGCAACCCCATAATGTGATGCCAATGCTGTTCCAACCTGTCTCCGCTCCCCCCTCCTCCCACCAGTTTCCAGACAAGGGCTAGCAGTCCTGTGAGGATGGCAACCCTGTCTCTACATTCTGTGACCCATCATGCTGAATGCACTGTGTGTGGCACTTCTCCAGCAGAGGGAGAAAACCTGCCCAGAACTGCAAAGCATCAGACAGTGAGCGGTTGGGGGAGAGACTGCAGGCCTGGCTGGTAAGTTGTGTTTGGCATGGGGGCTCATGACCTCTTTGGGGCCTGGGAAAGTACTTCAGATCTCACTGAATTTTGGTTGGGCTGGAGTGGTTGCTGACAGGAAAATGAAAGTAAGATTTGCTGGAAGACAAGAGCCAGATTCTTAGTTATGCCCCCCCATCCCTGAAACGTGTAGTATAGAAGAATGGGAGCTAAGGGTACAGCTCCATGATACTGGCTCCTCCAGGATTGTTTCTTCCCATTGATTCCCCCCCCCTCAGAACAGTAACTTCAGGCCTACAGTTTAAAGGACGAAATCCTTCTGTGGATGCGGTTCTAGAGAACAGCAGATCCAGTATGCCACATCAGTGTGTGTGTGGGCGTGTGTGTGTGTGTGTGTGTGTGAGAGAGAGAGAGAGAGAGAGAGAGAGAGAGAGAGAGAGAGAGATCTTGTACCCCAGGGTGCTTCAGTCAACTCCACCAGTGGCTCTCTCCTCTTTTTTTAATATTTATTTTGTACATAACTATACACCTGCCCACTCCCTTCTAGTTACCTTAAGGCAGGAACTGTGGCTCAGTGGTAGAGTGTCTGCTTGGCATATAGAAGGGTCCAGGTTCAATTTCCGGCATTTCCACTTAAATGGACCTGGCAGTAGGTGATTTATTTATTTATTTAACTTTTACCCCACCCTCCCCGCCAAAGCAGGCTCAGAGCAGCATACATAAAACCAATAAAATAATATACAATTCGGAGTAAAACACATAAACCTTATAAAACCATTTGTACATCATTGGTGGCGCAATACAATAAAGTGTATTTGAGACACGTTCCACCATGCAGCCACTTTGGATAGCTTCAGCTAGCAGATCGGCACAGGCTTGGCCAATGGGTGCTGCTCCTACTGGAATGCCTGGCGGAAAAGCTCCATCTTCACGGCCCTGCGGAACTGCTGGAGGTCCTGTAGGGCCCTGATCTCACCAGGAAGCTCATTCCAGTAAGTCGGTGCCACCAAGGAAAACGCCCTGGTCCTGGTCGATGTCAACCTGGCGTCCTTAGGACCAGGGAGGGCCAGGCGATGTTGTGTTCCAGATCACAGTGCTCTCTGGGGAACGTGTGGGGAAAGGGGGTCCCTCAGGTAGGCAGGCCCCTGTCCATAAATGTGATGTGAAAGATCTCCACCTGAGACCTTGGAGAGCAGTTGCCAGACTGAATACAAAGGTCTGATTCAGTATAAGGCGGCTCCATGTGCTCTGTGTGTTCACCTCCCCCAGGCTCCTCATGGGCAGCTTGACCTGAGCCATTAAAGGCCATTGAGGGCGGGTCTCCAGGGGGTCTTTTGAAAGCACCACCCTTCCTTTTGTCATGTGGGATAGATTGAGTCACAGTGATCAAAACCCAAGCTTGTCGCAATAAATTATGTAAGACCATTGAACTTTTGAAAGTATTACATAAATGATCATTTATATTATTACTACTCCTATTAGCTCTGATATAGTTCTAATTAATTTTGGTGAGGACTTGCATAGGGGACGTTTGCATGGGAATGATAAGGCTAAGAATATT